AGAAGGTGCTCCCAAATAGTCTAGGCGGTTAGGATACGTGGCTTTCACCCACGCGACCCGGGTTCGAGTCCCGGTTTGGGAATTTTGCTTTTCCGCTCCTGCCGGCCTGCAGCTTGTTTTGCTTGTTTGGCCTGTTCAGTCCGTGAGATCGACGTTCCGGGCGCTGCATATCGTGCTGAGGGGGTCGTGTCGGCGTTGGGAGCGTGCAGAGGCATCCGATGAAGCCGACGCTTAGACGAGCTCCACGTGAGGCTGGTTCGCGGTTGTTTCGGACCGATGAGGCAAGCGCTGGCGACGGGGAGGCGCGCGCGGGCGTGGGCGGGCTGGGGGTGCGTATCTGGTCGGCGTGCGGGTGGTGGTTATGGCGCAAAGGGCGCGAGTTGCGTGTAGGGTTGGTTACGAGAAGGTGCTCCCAAATAGTCTAGGCGGTTAGGATACGTGGCTTTCACCCACGCGACCCGGGTTCGAGTCCCGGTTTGGGAATTTTGCTTTTCCGCTCCTGCCGGCCTGCAGCTTGTTTTGCTTGTTTGGCCTGTTCAGTCCGTGAGATCGACGTTCCGGGCGCTGCATATCGTGCTGAGGGGGTCGTGTCGGCGTTGGGAGCGTGCAGAGGCATCCGATGAAGCCGACGCTTAGACGAGCTCCACGTGAGGCTGGTTCGCGGTTGTTTCGGACCGATGAGGCAAGCGCTGGCGACGGGGAGGCGCGCGCGGGCGTGGGCGGGCTGGGGGTGCGTATCTGGTCGGCGTGCGGGTGGTGGTTATGGCGCAAAGGGCGCGAGTTGCGTGTAGGGTTGGTTACGAGAAGGTGCTCCCAAATAGTCTAGGCGGTTAGGATACGTGGCTTTCACCCACGCGACCCGGGTTCGAGTCCCGGTTTGGAAATTTTGCTTTTCCGCTCCTGCCGGCCTGCAGCTTGTTTTGCTTGTTTGGCCTGTTCAGTCCGTGAGATCGACGTTCCGGGCGCTGCATATCGTGCTGAGGGGGTCGTGTCGGCGTTGGGAGCGTGCAGAGGCATCCGATGAAGCCGACGCTTAGACGAGCTCCACGTGAGGCTGGTTCGCGGTTGTTTCGGACCGATGAGGCAAGCGCTGGCGACGGGGAGGCGCGCGCGGGCGTGGGCGGGCTGGGGGTGCGTATCTGGTCGGCGTGCGGGTGGTGGTTATGGCGCAAAGGGCGCGAGTTGCGTGTAGGGTTGGTTACGAGAAGGTGCTCCCAAATAGTCTAGGCGGTTAGGATACGTGGCTTTCACCCACGCGACCCGGGTTCGAGTCCCGGTTTGGGAATTTTGCTTTTTCGCTCCTGCCGGCCTGCAGCTTGTTTTTCTTGTTTGGCCTGTTCAGTCCGTGAGATCGACGTTCCGGGCGCTGCATATCGTGCTGAGGGGGTCGTGTCGGCGTTGGGAGCGTGCAGAGGCATCCGATGAAGCCGACGCTTAGACGAGCTCCACGTGAGGCTGGTTCGCGGTTGTTTCGGACCGATGAGGCAAGCGCTGGCGACGGGGAGGCGCGCGCGGGCGTGGGCGGGCTGGGGGTGCGTATCTGGTCGGCGTGCGGGTGGTGGTTATGGCGCAAAGGGCGCGAGTTGCGTGTAGGGTTGGTTACGAGAAGGTGCTCCCAAATAGTCTAGGCGGTTAGGATACGTGGCTTTCACCCACGCGACCCGGGTTCGAGTCCCGGTTTGGGAATTTTGCTTTTTCGCTCCTGCCGGCCTGCAGCTTGTTTTTCTTGTTTGGCCTGTTCAGTCCGTGAGATCGACGTTCCGGGCGCTGCATATCGTGCTGAGGGGGTCGTGTCGGCGTTGGGAGCGTGCAGAGGCCTCCGATGAAGCCGACGCTTAGACGAGCTCCACGTGAGGCTGGTTCGCGGTTGTTTCGGACCGATGAGGCAAGCGCTGGCGACGGGGAGGCGCGCGCGGGCGTGGGCGGGCTGGGGGTGCGTATCTGGTCGGCGTGCGGGTGGTGGTTATGGCGCAAAGGGCGCGAGTTGCGTGTAGGGTTGGTTACGAGAAGGTGCTCCCAAATAGTCTAGGCGGTTAGGATACGTGGCTTTCACCCACGCGACCCGGGTTCGAGTCCCGGTTTGGGAATTTTGCTTTTCCGCTCCTGCCGGCCTGCAGCTTGTTTTGCTTGTTTGGCCTGTTCAGTCCGTGAGATCGACGTTCCGGGCGCTGCATATCGTGCTGAGGGGGTCGTGTCGGCGTTGGGAGCGTGCAGAGGCATCCGATGAAGCCGACGCTTAGACGAGCTCCACGTGAGGCTGGTTCGCGGTTGTTTCGATCCTGCCGGGTCCTCGGACCACGGTCGGCACCCAACGATCTCCACGGGTGACCCATAGCTTTTCTCGATCGGTCACCTTCATTCGTAGCGGAAGCTCGATCGAATCCCCGATCGCGATCTGTATTCTCTGATCTACACACACGTGTCTGACATTGTCGTTGTACAGCTGACGCCGTCCGCTAAGCTGGATCTTGACTTCGTCGGGGAGACAGATAGAGCCGTCCGCAAGAACGAGGCGGATCCCCGCTGGAACCATAAAGTCCATACCCAGGATCGCCTCTTGTCCTGATAGATCGCCAACCAAGATATCGAAGAAATACACCAGCGATCCCGCCAGCGTAACCTTGATCCTGGTCCTTCCTTCCGTCATGTACACGCTTTCGCCAATCCCCACACATTCCTGGCTCTGACTCGTGTCGACAGAGCACCCCACCTTATGAGCAAAGGCGGTGTCCACGATGGACACATCGGCGCCGGTGTCTAAGAGTAAGATCGACTTCTCATTGTTGATCTTGCCAGTGATCTTGGCCTGACGGAACCACTTACCTGGCGAATGATGTTTCCAGTACCCTCTGGACTCCCCAGGGAGGAGATCGGGCACCACATCGCCAGATCTGCGGTGTTCGCTGACGCGAGGCAGACTTCGATCGCGATCATGCTCCGGGATCTCGGTCGTCACTTCTCCATCAGCTGGCTTGAACCATTCCTCCGGTCTGCGCTGCTTCCAATAGCCCCATGTTTCTCCAGACTGGAGATCCAAGGGCACTTCGGCGTCGGAACGGCTGAAGTCGTCCGATCGATGTAGACTTAAGACCTTGGCGGCAAATTTCGCATGTAGATCACATGTTTTTCCGCGTAGATCAGTCCGTCCACTTACTCGATCTACCGTGTTCTTGTTCACGAATGCATAGATGCAGTACCTAGAACGCTCGGCTCGTACCGGATTCCAACCCGGCGAGCGTCCTAGTTTAACATCTTCTCGGCGATCGCGGACAGCATGCCAGCGTGCTTCGCCGGGTTGAACCATTGACGGATCTGGTTGTAGAATTCCTCCATCGGACACTTGCCCATCTCGTGCAGTTCACCACATCCACGGCACACGAACAGGCAACGATCCGCTGGATGACCTCGCTTGCCACGTCAAACGTCTCCAGCAATCGAGATGGGTGTGTTTCCGCGATCGACAATGTGAGCAGCGGTTTGATCGCTCCGATCCGTCAGGTGAAGATCGCGATCGTGGATCCGATCGAGGTGGGTCATGGTTGATCTGCGCCTGGTTGCTTCGATCCGGCTTCGTCGCGTCGCCCCCAGCGTTGCGGAACTCGTCCTCGCTCGACACTAGGTAAACGCGACGTAGATCACCCTCCGAGTCCGATCCGTCTGATCCCGTGTTTGATCCAGACCCCTGGCTCGCGATCTGTACTGCACGCACTGCCCGCTTGGTTGCAGCAGCTGGTGCTGAGGTCGGAACTTTCTGACGATACTTCGATCCAAAGGCGGATCGCTTCTGTCTACTTTTCGCGCGCTCTCGAGCGCGCAGGACTTCCTCCAGATCTTCCGCGTCCGCAAGCCGGAGTAGGGTGAGCTGATCGGCCAGTTCCGGATCGGCCAGCGTCTCGATAAAGTGTTCGACATGTTCTCGGCGGGCCTTGGAATCTCCGTCCTTGATCTTCAATCTTGCACGCAGAGCCACCACATTCAGTCGATAGAGGTACTCCAACGGCGATTCATCTGATCTCTTGCGAGAATGATAATACTGCCAAGCGACCGATACTCCCAGGCCACAATACTGGATCTGGAAACTCCGGAGTAGATCGCTCCACTTGTTCCGCGTCGATCGGCCCAGCTGGTGGTACCAGTTCTTCGCCGGGCCCGTCAGTAGATCAGCGAAGGTCAATCACTTATCTTCGTCCGTAGCCTGATCTCGCAGGAGCGCTGATTTCACCTTGCTGATCCACGAACGGGCGCGGTCTTCGTCCTGATCCTTGCCACTGAAATCCTTAAGATCGGACATCGCGGAGATTCGCACACGTTGGATCAAGGAGGACCCAGCGGATCCCGAGGCAGCGGTTGCCACCGCAGCAGGGACCGAACTCGGTAGATCAATATCGTCCGGATGCAACACCTTAACTAGCCAGGCAACTCGCGCTATTAAAAGTGTAATGCAATTTGATTATCAATATCGTCCGGATCGTATTCCCACTGGGAGAAATCTTGATCCGGTGATCCGGCTGATTCCATCTCCACGTCCCGCGATCCAACGTTGTCGTCGACCACTGGAGTAGGTGTTACCACCGTGACCTGTTGTTCCTTCAGAAATCGAGTCATCGCAGCCTGAAAGTAAGACTCCAGTCTGCCATTCGACTCATCCGATCCGGTGGCACTGGTGGTCCGATCGGTCGACTTGGGGTTCTGCTTCCGAGGTCCTGACCGCATGCGTTCCTGATGTTGACTCCGTGATCGCGCGTCCAACATCGCAGATCCTGAAGGGCTGAGGGATATCCGTTGGGGTTCAGACGACGTATCCGAGACATGTTCCGCTGCAGAGACATAAGGTGACGACGATCGGTACCCAGTGGACTCCACTCGCGGCGATGACACTGGAGCCGGTGACACTGGATCTGGCACCTTCGGGCCCGGACTATCCGCGATCACGTCGACCAAAGGTCTCAACTTGTCGACCAATGTCTGGATCGCTGTCTGGATCACATCGAGGTCTTGATCGAAAAGATCGTTCGCTTCAAAGGCGCCAGCCACACAGCCGGCTTCCTTCAACAGCCCGAGCAGGTTCTTCACCGCCATCAGCTTGTTATCCGTCACTCGGGGGGCTGAAATCGGGCCCTTCGGGTCGTCGATCTGCTCTGGCCGCACGATCACCATGACAGGATCTTGACGCAAGAAGTCTCGCAGTTCCTTCAAGTGATACTGACGATCCAGGTCAGCCTCAGACCAGTCGAGCGCCGACGGTCTGGGATCTTCGTCGTCCAAGCCTGGCGCTCTCAGCTTCTTCCTCACGATCTGGGTCTTGTCCGTGTGGTATTGGAAAGTGGCAATTTCCAACGCTGTTGACCCGCCAACCCGGCGATCAAGGCGAGGTCAAGCGAGAGACGGAGATGGCTGCTTCTGATTGGATGATGACATTATCCTCGGTAGAGTGACAGGCAGTGGCCGAAGCCTCGTCGGGTCCTAATAGAACCCCGAACGAGGCTTCATGGTACCCACTTTTAGGTACAGATGCATTTAGTTACGTACTTCGGCCGCACTTATTAGTGTAGCCGCGGTCGTCATTTGATGTGTCCGGAATCGCCTTATTGCGATCGTTCACACTAGATATTTGTATAGGGACATAGGACTCATCATAGGATGGCCAGAACGAGGCCACCAGGGCCTCAGAAAACTCAGTAATAAAAAGACAGTCTTCCCTCGAAGCCAACAAGGGTCAAGTCCGACTTCGGTAAGTGTAGCTAGCTTATTGTAGTGCCTGGACACGCTCGGCTGCGTGTGGATGCCTGTCGGGGAGCTTATCGTGCATTGACCGAGAGTTTCCTTGGCAGCGCCAAGAGTTGGCGTGGCCGGAGAGGTAGGAACGGTATTAGAGTATCGTTCAGTATATATTTGTGGGATTAGAGTGTCCCTGAGTGTATTAGTCTACCTACCGAGGTTTTACCTTGGTCCCCCTGTATAAGGCCTAACACGCCGGTACCCTTCCTTTCTGAGGGACTGCAGTGGGGTTGCGCGAAAGCGCTACATAGCATAGTATCCTAGCCTTAGCTCGTGGCTAGTGGTACAGGTTTTTGGGTTGACCGAAGATAACCTAAGGTGCACAGAGGCGCTTGCAACCGACCCGGTGTAAAGGATCGTTCCTGGTCTTCAGGTTTTGATCCAATAATCACTTACCTTTGCGGGTTAGCGTGTTGTTGGTGTCTCTAATACCTTTTGGTAGAAGAGAATTTAAGTGGTATTACCACAACTGGTGCCGCGACCCGGGATTGGTGTGACCTTCTGTGTGTCTTGGTTGTTGTAGGTCTTTACCCCCAACGAGCGAAGAGGAGAAGAAGAAGAAGAAGAAGAAGAAGAAGAAGAGAGAAGATGGCGAAGGGAGTCAAGTCAGCGGTACCAGCAACGCCGGCCAAGTCGAGTGGAACGCGCAACGAGACTTCGGTGCGCTCCGGAAGCTCATTCTCGACCCCAACGACTGATCGGATGGAGTCGATTGACGAGGGTTCGGTGAGCTACGACACGGCGATTGATTCCTCGGACACCAAAGAAGATGACGAAGATGATGACTGGGATGTCCGGACAGCGATGTCCGAGACTTCGGAAGCTGCGGTTGTGTCGGCAGGTCGCAGTGGAGGATCAAGGTCGATTACCCGCGACCTCTCCGACACGTGCAAGGACATGCTGGGCCCCGAGCCCGCCTACGACGCGGATGACGGCGCCACCGAGGACTTCAAACCCTCGGTGACGGTAGGAGGGGCAACCTCCAAGCCGGTTGGCACTCGTCCTCCCCTCAACGGGGATACTCCGGCGGCCAACAAGGTCCTAGGCCGGTGCCTAGACCTGATGAAGACCAAGAGCGAATGGATGCAGTTGTTCTCCCCGAAGCAAGTCCGCCAGGCCCCTCGGAGGGGCGTTGGCTACGCCGATCAACTCAACGAGCGCTCGGCACGTTGCGCAGAATACTGTGGACCTCCTGCGAGCTATGGGGTGCGAACCCCAGATCCTCCCCACGGAGGCTGCGCTCGCGAGTTGGACGCCGACCGCCGCTGCCACGGCGTTAACCAAGTGGAGTAAAAAGCTGCGTAATGCCTTTGGAGTGGCGGACGTCAGTTCGCGAGGCCCAACGATGCTTCGTTCGACCTCGGAGGCAGTAGACCCGTCGACGGTCCCGCTACCAGCGACCCCTCGGAAGGGAGCCACTGATGACGGTGTCTTTGCAACCAAGGGCGAAGCCTCCCCGTACATGCAAGACTCGCACATGATAACTCCACGATCTACGGACCGTTGTGAACGTCTAGCTAGGGAGAACGAGGCTTCATTCGCCACGCCTGGCACGCGCGGAGCGACCGGTCGTCGATCCGGCCGAGGTTACGACCTCCAAGATGATTCGTCGGACAGCGACGACGACCTCGGGCCCGACTACTACGAAGGGGACCTACCGAGCGAATGGACACGTCAGGTGCGCGAGCTAAGTGCGACCGACAACCAGAGCTCAACCCCAAAGCTCGAGATCGCCAGGCATTTGCCTCTCGCCAACATCAAGCCGTTCTACGGAACGCGCGACAAGAGCGAGCACTCCATGCAGTGGCTCCGAACGTTCATCTATGAGATGAAGGGAACGCATGCACCACCCAACGAGTGGTGTATGCCGTTCGAACTTAAGCTCAGGGATGGAGCCCTGCACTGGTGTCGCCAGCTCCCACGCAAGACAAGACGCACGTGGAAGTTGCTGAGCGAGGCGTTCATCAAGTACTATTGCTCGAAGTTTTCCCAGTCTGCGAAGGCTCGGTACTACTCGGCCAAGCGGGAAGACAAGGAACACGTTTGTGACTACCTCAACCGGCTCAACGGCTACGCTCGCAACGCCGGTGTGCAATTTGAAAACGGTGGTCGTGACGCGAAGGACCCCGTGGACCACTTCTTGGTCACGTGTGACGACCGAAACTTAGAAGACCGTCTGTGCCACGTCCGGGTCAAGAGCATCCATGACCTCGAAGACATGATCAACGACATCCTGCGTCACCGTGACCGCAAATCGAACCGAGAATCGTCGTTCCGCCGCTCTCGGAGTCAAGATGATGGATGTCGACGCGATGCGAGGTCGAACGAGGATTCCCGTGGTGGCTACCGCCGCGAACGACGCTACCACGACGAAGACCGTCGCGAACGACGTCGCCGTGACAACGACCGCCGCAACGACCGCAGTGAAGACGACCGTCGCCGTGACCGACGCGATGGATCACCGTACCAGTCCCGAGTCACTTTGGTTGACGCGCTGGCCGATGTGATGGCGGAATGGAACGTCGGAGGCTCGGTCGGTGCACGCAACGAGGCTCCATATGCCCCCCGACGTGATGCTGAGGCGAACGAGGATTACTTCGAGGATGAGCGCCAATACTCGGACGACCAACGCTCGGACGAGGATTCAGACGCTGATTACGACTCGGATGGGTCTACCGGACATGTCGCTGCTGCTAACGATGCTGAGCGCAGGGCCGCAGCCGAAGGAACGTTCGCTCGGTCTGATAACCGACGCTTCAGGAACGGAGGAGGCCCGTCCAACCGTGAACGTGATGGTCGACGCCAGTATGGGCCGTGTGCCGCGTGCGGAAGCCCGTCCCACTCGGTGCACTTCTGCTACCGGCGGTACAAACTGTGCAAACAGGTGCACGACGCTGGGAAGTGTGAAGCACTCCACGAGCTCACCAAGCTCCTGAAGTCCAAGGTCGACAAGAAGGATCTGTCGCCAGAGCTGCAAAGCCTGGTGTATGGAAGCCATTTAAACTAGGCAGCCCGCCAACTGAAACTGGGTTGGTCCCAATCGGGCTGCCACAGTTAGCTGAGCCTGCTGTTGATGCGGACTATCTGTTCGCGTTCACGGGCGAAAGCAAACGGCCCGACGACCTGAAGAACAATGAACGTGTGAAACCGACGGAAAATGGAGAGAACCGGGACGCAAGTCTCGTTGCGATTGGTATTGATGAAGATGATGATGATGAACGTGATGGACACCCGACCGAGTCTTTGATCACAAGTCTAGCCCAGATAAGGGGGCCACCTCGGAACCTCGTTCGGGCGGTGAAATTACTGCCCGGTGAGAGACTGGGGTGGTGGTCGTCCCAACGATACGACAAGAGGAAGCGAATGAGGGCTTTGGTCAATGGCGTAGTGGACGACGTGGCCAGAAGGCCGTCAACAAGCTCAGTTGGGTGACGAGTGAAAGCTCGGTCGATGTCGCTCGAGCTGATACAACCGATGTGGATCGTGCTGGTGGGTCGAACGATGGTTCGGACGACGAGGCCAGCGCGTCGTATGACTCGGACGTACCCGGAGACTCGCCGCCTAGCTGAGCGGGTTGCCTGCCCGTGAATCCGAACAGTGGTGCTGACTCCACCGGCCAGGGAGCGACATACGCCTCGGTTGAGGCATCGGAAGCCAGTGATGAGCTGAGTGATGGTGACAGCGTGACGAACGACGGTTCGGAGGATGACCGTGACGTGGTAGCAGTGGCCGAGACAACTACATGGGATGTCCTGCCAACAGGGACCGCTGCGTCCAGCCTGGAGCCAGAGGAAACGTCGGCTGCGGTGTGTAGTAGCGAAGTCGACTGGGGTGAACACGACCCAGGGCCTAACGAAGTTCCTACTGAAGCCGGAACCTCCACTGCTGACGCCGACACTGAATTCCATGATTCGGATCTAAGTGCGATCGACGACCCCGAGCAGCTACTGGAGGCGACCTATATCTCGGTCATGCATGCCATGGTTGCAGAAGGGTCTGGCGAAGGTGATGACACCGTGAACGACGTTTCGGAGCACGTCGCGAACGAGATTGAGCTTACCGACTACGCGCAAGAGCTGGCGTTCTTGCCGGACCTAACCGAAGCGTCGGAGACGACGCCGGACTACTCGGGGCAAAACGTCCAGAGTGACGAACTCAGCGTGAAGCAGCAAACGGCCCTGGTCGATGTGCTGAAGAGCCACGAGAAGGTCATGATTGCGAGCGGTAACGCCCTGCCGCCTCCAGCCTACGGGGTCGTATGTGACATCAATGTACAGGGGCACGCGCCAATCAAGCAGAAGGCTCGGCGGACCCCGCTTCGCTTCCTCGGTAAGCTGTACGAATTGCTGAAGGGTCTGTTGAAGGCCGGGCTTATCTCCTTCTCGGACAGCCCATGGGCGTCGCTAATCGTCACCGTCCTGAAGAAGAATGGGGTGGATATCCGCCTGTGTATCGACTACAAACTCGTTAATGCGATCACCGAGATTATGGAGTACGCCATGCCCCTGGTGGATGACTTGCTGACGGACATGGAGGCGTACTTGTGGTTTTGCTCGCTTGACGCCGCTAGCGGCTTCTGGGCCATTATGATGACCGAACGAGCTCGGAAGATCTCTGCTTTCGTCTGCGCACTGGGGCACTTCGAATGGTTGCGTATGCCTTTCGGCCTGAAGAACACACCGATGATCTATCAACGCATGATTGACAACGCGCTTTGGGGCTTCGTCCAACCGACGGGAGGATGGTTTAAATTCTCGGAGCGCATGCGTCTAGCTGAAGAACATGACAAGGAAGCTCATGCTGGGGTGAACGAGGCTTCGACTGGCACGGCAAAGCCATTCCGGATCAAGTTCGAGGCCGACGGAGACAACTCGCTTGGTAAGGGAGCTGTAGCCGAACTGGTCAACAGCCCTATCGCCGACATGTTCGCCAACGGGGAGCCCGATGACTCCTCGTTGACACCAGTATTCAGTCGCCGGTCATTCGTGGATGATATCTGTTTCGGAGCCGAGACTTTCGAGTCGTGCTTGGCGACGCTAGACCGATTGCTGGCACGGTTTGAAGAGTGCCGTATTAGTATCAGCTTCACGAACAGCATCTTTGTGCAGTCCAAGGTAGACTTCCTGTCCCACGAAGTCTCGGCAGAAGGTATCCGACCGGACGCTAAGAAGCTGGCTGGGGTGGCCGAGCTTCCGTTCCCGTCAACGAGGAAAGGAATGCAGTCCTTCCTTGGGGCACTCAACTATTACAGTCGCTTCATCCAAGATTTCGCGGTCTATGGAGCAGCGCTGTACCAGCGTAAGGACGAGGACTTCCAGCCCGGGGGTGACCTCACCGCGGCCAAGCACAGCTTCGCGATGTTCCAACAGAAGGTTTCGGCAGCACCGATACTACGACACTTCGACCGGAAGAAGGAGGTGCATGTCGTGTTGTTCGCCAACGAGTGGGCTCTAAGTTTCACGTCGATGCAAGAGCACGAGGGCAAACTACACCCCGTTCGCTTCTGCGGACGTGTTTTGAAGGATGCTGAGATGAATTATCACCCGGCCGAGAAAGAGGTCCTCGCGCTTCTGCTGATACTGAAGGTGTGTTATACTCAACTCGTTGGACAGCGAATCCGGGTCTACACTCGGTTTTCGACACTCGACTGGGTCCACAAGTCCAAGACATCGTTCGGTCGGGCTACCCAGTTCGCCGTCTTGCTGTCGCCGGGGCACCTGTTGGTCGAACGAGTCAAAGAAACCGACTGTTCGTTTGCTCAGCTACTTCAAGCCGGCTTGACGAACTTCGTTGACTTGGATAAGTCACTGGCGTTGGTCACACCCCGGACACGAGGGTCACCAACTGCTCGTTTGGACCCGCATCTGCTCTACGCACGCCTACCGCGGTTCTACCGAGGCTTCGTTATGTCGTTTGACGGGTCTGCGAAGACCGAGAAGAACGGTGGATACGGCAGTTGCTCGTGGATACTATGGAAGCTACCAGAGTGGACAGTAGTGCTTGCTACGAGCGCTTACCTCGAGAACACCACGGTCAACCTCGCTGAGTACACCGGGATGAACAACGGCGTCTCTGCTGCATTACAGCATGGAGCCGACGATCTAGTTGTCGTTGGCGACTCGAGGCTCGCGATCCAGCAATCCCTAGGGGATAGCCTGTCGGAAGGAGTCATTGCTGCAACAACTCAGCCACCATCAAGAACTCACGGCCAAGCTTCGGTCGGTGAAGTACCTGCATGTGGTGAGAGAGTTTAACGCTGCGGCCGACTCTCTGGCAAGCGAGACGCTCGAGTGCAAGGAGTCTACGGTGGTATCGTCGGACGACCGAGTATTAGAGCTGATGAAGCTGAACCGTATCGCTGAAGTCATCTACGAGGCTAGAACCGGTATCCACTTCGGTCGGGTAATTCCAACTCATACGCAAATTCGTCGACCTTCTTCTTCACGCGGAACGGTCCGTGCCACCGATGGGCTAGTTTCTTGGTCAGTCCTGGTCGAACCCGCTCCATGTACAGTCACACTCTGCTCCCGGGCTGCAAAGAAAACCTCGTTCTCGTCACTGCAGCTCTACTATGGTCAGGAGAACTCGGTGCCCGGTCGACCGAGGATCTATTCTCGTTGACGCCTGCCATGGCTTCCTTCTCCTTCCTGCCAAGCGACGCATTGTGCTCTTCAGTTCTCTGCAGTTTTGAGCCGGACCGCCTGGACGGCGAGTATGAAGTCGAGGCTATCCTCGATGACCGGACACCGTTGTCAACCAGCACTCACCGGGCCGTCCGAGAGTTCAAGGTGAAGTGGGTCGGCTATGACAAGCCGACATGGGAACCAGCGTCCAATCTCTCGTGCGGTGGCCTCCTGTACGATTACCTACGCCGGAAGCGAAGCGACCGACGTTTGCAAATGGTCCAGGTGGCCGACGAGGAGTAATTCTGCGCCCCAACGAGGATTGAACTGCTCGCGGGGGCAATCCAGCCCGCGATGTCAGACGAACGAGGCTACTGGAGATGATGATTGAACTGCCTGCGAGGGCTATCCAGCTCGCAGTGACAGATGAAGAAAGTTACTGGAATCTGCATGTTACGTGTTAAGTGAACGAGTCACGATGGAATGGAGATATCGGAATGGAGCCAGGGGCAACGGAAGACGCAAGCAAGCCTCGGTCAAACCCTCAACAGACGAAACAAGTGATGATGAAGCAAATGGGAGTGCGACCGAGGCTTCGGACGCAGTGATTGCCATGGAAGTAGCACGAACAAGTGCGCTCGACTTCGTGGTTGAGTATGGAGTTGATGATGAAATGGGTATGCAAGCTGTCGACACCGGATACCCGCAGCAGACCGGGTGTACAGTTGTCAAAATTGGGCTGTCATGCGAAAACATACCCGCAACGGAGCTAGCGTAAGTACGCCCGGTCTCCCGCGAATCAAGTCCGGTCTTCAACGAGCATAAGCCCGATCTTCTTGCAGGGAGACAAGACGAAGCCCGGCTGCCGCAGCTACGAACCAAGCCTCGTCTGAGGCAGCCACAGCGGTCGAGGACAGAGAAGAAGATCTGGGAACCGCGACCGAGTATTGAATGCGATGTGCGTTGACGCGTGAAAAGATTATGAAATGGAACGAACAACATGACGTTATTTTGGATTGGGATAGCACATGCAGCGTCGCCTAAAGCGCCACGGACCTCGGTCGACATTGGAAAAGAACGTGAACGAAACGGTGAAGCTGGAGCGGGGCCTAACGAGGCTAAATCTCCATCACAGCCTGAGCCAACACGCCCAGACTTGACCCGGCGGCGGAAGAAGATTCACCCGACTCCTTCGTCTCCTCATCGGGGCTTGGAGAGCGAGAACGACGAGCGTTTGCGAACTCGGCCACCCATGGAGCGACCACCATCGAAGTCCGCAGAGAAGATTCGACCACGACCGACGACGCCACGGTTTCCCGAGTCGATCCGTTGGGGACAAACAACGGGAAGTCGTTGCAATGGGCGAAAGACGTGGTCTGCCGGCGCTTGGAACCAACAGGTACGCCACGGCTCGCGGGCATCCACGTCCGCCACCTCGGAGGCCCAGTCGTCGGTAGTGGGGACCCACTCCATCACCTCGAACGAGTATTGCAGGTACGACGGCTCCAGCAAAACCTCGGTGCGGTGCTGTGGAGGTTGTCCGTCGTACGTAATGGCCCCATTCCACACCTTGTGGAGCATCCGGTCTCGCAAGCGATCTGTACGATAACTGCGCTCTCGGTGGTACTTGGACCACGCTTGTCGAAGCGCTAGGACTTGCACGTTGCGCTGACCGAGGGTGCTGGCGAGGTTGTCGATATACGCCTTGACAGCTTTACCCCTTATCCAGTGGCGACGCTCCCACAAGGCGAAACCAAGGTCGACCCTCTCGGTGGAGTGGTAGGAGTACCCCTGGAACTGCCGCCATAGGCGGACGAGAAGAGCCCGACCAGTTGCACGACGGGATATAGCCACCGAGGATGGAAAACCCGTCGTATCGATCAAACAAGGCTCGTCTGGGAAAAACTGGCGCAACACTTGGAAGGGGTGAGCAGGATCCGTCCACAAGCCAAACTCCACGATTACATCCACTGAGCTGGGGGCGACCAAGTCGTCCTCGAAGACGAGGGGGACACTGGCGTTTTGGATGAGATGCCAGCATTCCGACGCTCCGGGTGCCGTGAAACCCGGCTCCGAGAACCGGGTAGCAAGACCACTGAGCTTACGCGATCCAGGAGCTACGTCGGAAGCGTCAACCACTGCTGGGGCAATCGACGCAGGTCCAGCCCTCGGTGAAGCTGTCACCGTTGCTGTTACCATCGCCCGAGCGTGAACAGAGGCCGACCGAGTGTGGAGTCGACTCGGGATTGGCACGGTGGCCGCTTGTGAATCTACAGGAACCCCGGTCGCGGCAACCAGAGGAGAAGGAGCCTCCGAAGGAGCGACAGGTTGCGCCACCGAGGTTTCCTCTCTTTCGTCGGGGCCGAACATCTCCAGGAACAACGCTGCGCGGTCCTCGGAAGTCTCGGACTCATGAGGCGACTCACCGCTAGGTGGACGGTCTGGCGGGCCGCCAGAGCCCTCCCTGCCCCCAGCAGCCGATTCTCGAGGGGCACGGCCGACGCCGGCTGTACCAGACGAGACTGGCGAAGGAATGGAAGTCGCCGCCGAATGCGAAACCTCAGATGGAACCTCGATGACAGTACCGGAAGGCTCGGTAGCAGAACCTTGAACTCCCTGAGCGCTGGCCGACACCCCCGGAATCTCGCCGGGCTCAAGGTCATCTTGTGAAGTGTCGCTAGGACTCATACCCCCTCCAAACTCCACGTCAGACGATTCGTGCTGCTGGGCTGGGGCTGGCGAGGGAGGCGAGGCGCGACGAGCCAGTCGAGGATACAAGGGGACGTCTGAGTGTTCGTACGGGAGAGGCTGAGACTCCAACCAGCTTGAGCGAGCCGTCGTTGGGGGACGCACCATCGACCGAGGAGGCGGGGAAATCTCTCCTGATGCCGAACGAGGACTAGATGGCGCGGCGGCCGCTGCAGCCCTGGCCCTCAGGTCGAGTGACGGTCTGCCGAAGCGTTTGTGAGGAGGAGGCTGGGATGCCGTATTCCCGACGGAAGCAGACTCGGTTTGCCGACCCCGCTTGCGCGATGACGACTCAGTGGAGACCGGGGAACCAGCAGAAGCGCCCACCGAAGCAGCGGGAGCGGACGTAGCCTCGGTGGACTCATCCATCGGCACGTCGGTCGTCTTGGACTCCTCTCCCTCCTCTGACGAGGATTCGTCATGGCGTGGACTCTCGACAGTGACCGTCGGTGGGGACAGCCCGAGAAGATTCCAATCAATCTCTGCGGCGGAGATGCCGGCTGAGGCCAGGACCAAGGTGTCGACGTCGAGTCCGTGTGCTGCCGAGTGCCGACGAAGGATAGAATTCGCTCGCCGCAAGCTGTTGTTCTCGTCCGTCAACGCTTGAATGCGTGCCGTGATGACGTTTGCTCGGTCGCGGTCGGCCAACTGCTTCCGAAGCCTCTCCAACTGAGTGTTGTAGGTAACGAGGCTTGCACTTATACGCTCGTGGAGCTGGGTGTTCCGACGTACAGCAGCGGCCGAATCGGCCTCAGCAACGAGCATCCGCTTCTCCAACGACTGAGTGACGTCAGCGTGGTCGCGTTCGCTTGCATCAACTGAGCGCTGGCGTTGCTGAGCTGGACGCGCATGTCCTGGACGAGGTCCAGAGCTTGGTCGCACTCGGAGTTGGCCGAGACGAGGAAGTAGTCCGACTTGGTCCGCAGGTTCATCTCTTCAGCGAGTTTATCTTTGGCGTCGGAGAGCTCTGCCTGCAGCCGGTCGTTCTCGCGGCGGAGGGCCACCAGTTCATCAGCCTCCGCAAGAGGGAGACGCGGAGGAGCAACGGCAGCAGCCAGCACCTCACCGACGTTAGTAGCAGCTTGCAGGCTGTGGTCGAGAGCAGCGTTGACTCGAGCTGGAGATGAACGGGCAACACCCACGACGAGACGAGCGAGTTCCAGCATCTGCTGCTCGCCCAAGACGACCGCTGTCGGAGGAACCTCGGCCGGGCCAGCACCAGCTCCGGCGCGACCCCCTACAGCTGCCTCGCCCCCCACCGACGCCCCGCGAGTTGCCAACGTGACCGAAGGCGCGGGAGTTGGCGACGGTGGGGCGCTGGCGCTTGGCGGCGGTGTCGGCGGCGAGTCGGGAGCCTCTTCACTGGGAACCGCCGGCGAGGGAGTCTCGGTCGCCCCAGCAGCAGACTCAGGACTACTTGGAGGAGCCGGTGGAGGGTCGACCGAGGTCCCGGAGGCGGCAGGAATGAGCGTAGGGTCACCTGCAGGCGCGGCCGGGGCTGGGGGCACAGCACCAGCAGCGATAGGGGCGGGGGCACCCGCCGAACGAGCCTGGCGCGCCGGACGACGACCCGAAGTGTTGGTGGCGACATCAACAGCTCCCTAAGATGATCAAGAAAGAGATGGAGTCAACAACGAGGATCCGGATGACAGTGAGGAGCAGCGGGAGCGACGAACGTACCGGTCCGGAGCACTGGAGAGCCCGAAGAGCAGCGGCAGCCGCGTCGGCGAATGCACGCGACGGAGGAGCCATGGAGTCGAAGAACCGAGGACGCCTAGACGCTCACCATCGTGGGAGGCTCGCGTCGAGGCGGGGGCAGTTGTGGTATTGGAAAGTGGCAGTTTCCAACGCTGTTGACCCGCCAGCCCGACAATCAAGTTCAATCAAGGGGCGATCAAGGCGAGGTCAAGCGAGAGCTGCTTCTGATTGGATGATGACATTATCCTCGGTAGAGTGACAGGCAGTGGCCGAAGCCTCGTCGGGTCCTAATAGAACCCCGAACGAGGCTTCATGGTACCCACTTTTAGGTACAGATGCATTTAGTTACGTACTTCGGCCGCACTTATTAGTGTAGCCGCGGTCGTCATTTGATGTGTCCGGAATCGCCTTATTGCGATCGTTCACACTAGATATTTGTATAGGGACATAGGACTCATCATAGGATGGCCAGAACGAGGCCACCAGGGCCTCAGAAAACTCAGTAATAAAAAGACAGTCTTCCCTCGAAGCCAACAAGGGTCAAGTCCGACTTCGGTAAGTGTAGCTAGCTTATTGTAGTGCCTGGACACGCTCGGCTGCGTGTGGATGCCTGTCGGGGAGCTTATCGTACATTGACCGAGAGTTTCCTTGGCAGCGCCAAGAGTTGGCGTGGCCGGAGAGGTAGGAACGGTATTAGAGTATCGTTCAGTATATATTTGTGGGATTAGAGTGTCCCTGAGTGTATTAGTCTACCTACCGAGGTTTTACCTTGGTCCCCCTGTATAAGGCCTAACACGCCGGTACCCTTCCTTTCTGAGGGACTGCAGTGGGGTTGCGCGAAAGCGCTACATAGTATCCTAGCCTTAGCTCGTGGCTAGTGGTACAGGTTTTTGGGTTGACCGAAGATAACCTAAGGTGCACAGAGGCGCTTGCAACCGACCCGGTGTAAAGGATCGTTCCTGGTCTTCAGGTTTTGATCCAATAAGCACTTACCTTTGCGGGTTAGCGTGTTGTTGGTGTCTCTAATACCTTTTGGTAGAAGAGAATTTAAGTGGTATTACCACACCACATCCGCGATCGCGTCCAGGTAGCCCGGATCGAGCCTGATCGGCGAGTCAGCGAACGCGTATCGGTCCGATCCCGCCTTAGTTTGTTTTGTTAGTGAATCTCGGTTCGCACCAAGATCCACCGGGGTCCCCGAAGGGACCTGGGGAGGATGTTGAGGTTTGTCTTCTAGATCTGTTTCCAGATCGCCCTCGATTCCGTCGACAGAAGTCCTCCGAGCACTCTGTCGATCCGCGGATCTCGTTTTGTTCAGCAGCGCCTTCGTTGATCCGATATCCGACGACACCTCTTCCCCTGGTTCTTTCTTCACTTGTGCATCTTCTACGGACTCACGGTGAAATCCGGAGTCCCCAAGAGATCCGGGCACGCGCACCATTGTGGTGTAGCGGGATCGGCCAAAATCTGGTTAAGGCCTGATCGAGCTTCCCACCAGCGCCCAGACACCGACTATCGGAGGGGGTCCCCCAACGATCCGTGATCGGCTGAACTTGTTCTCACCTTGTGTACCCGTCGGCGGGCTGGATCTGCTCTCTCGGGGCTCCGAAGATGCAGCACTTGGTGAAGATCGAGTGTCTTGGCGTGACGCGGGGATAGTTTGTGGAGCAGCGCGGTAGTCTTCGCTCTGCGTCCGAGTATACGCTCCGATCGAGGGTTGTTCGCTCCGATCGGTCGGCCTGGAATCGATCCACGGCCTGTAGTTGCCTTTCCGGGTGTGTTCCTTCCTTTCCTGAGTTGCTTGCCGCTTCCTATAGCGGGATCGAGGTCGATTGAGAGACGCAGCGATCGCCGGCCAAGCAGTACCCGGTCGATCGAGGACTTGCACACGAGAGAAAGATCACTAGAGTAGATCAAGCTGGCCAAGGTATTAATCCAGTCTTAACCGTACCGCTAGTTCACTACCCGAAGTGTCAACGCTTGCCGATGCCAATGTAGTTCCTGGGACTTGACGACTTGAGGGCACTTGTGGTCTTCTGTGCAAATTGCGTTCTGATTTATGTTTAGCTGGTCTCTCTCTACCGCTACCATCTCATCTACCATCCTACAACCAACCGATTACTGGATTCTTGCCCCGACTTTGTCCTCCATATGCATCCCATCGCGGTCGATCCCCGATCCACGATCGTCCCACCATCGACTCCCGATCGGCGATCGGCGATCAACTCTCGATCGATGACTAGTGCCGGTTGCCGTACGCCGCGGATCCATCATCTTCTGTCCTCGGCCATCCTAGATCGGCGAGATCTGTCGTCGATCGGGGCTTGGGTCGACCCCGAATCACGCCACGATTCGAGCACGATCATCCACAATCCGGCTTGCCACATGTCCTGCCTTACGCGCCGGCGTCATCGGGCCACTTGAGATCTCCCGAAGAACTCCTTCTGATCCATAGATCCTCGCTGTCTGTCTCTCGATCGCTGATCCCCCATACTTCCATTCGATCGGCCCTGCCGCCTTTCTCGGAGATCAGTTCTTATTCAGCACCTCTCCACAGCTGCGATGCGATGAAGAGCGCGAGGGGATGAAACGAGCGAAGGTGATTGGAGACTCCACGACAACTTGAATGTCGCGTCCACGTGCAGCACCAAGGTGCTGGGATCACGGGTGGCAACTTGAAGCGGTCGCTTCGATGTCATGCCCAGCATGAATGGGTCATCATCAGTTCCTGTGCCGGTGTAGGGCTTTCCAGCTGTCGTTTCGCGCCACACGAACGTGAAACCCTCCCGCCCCGCCTTGCCCCGGTGTAAGCAGCCTCGCTCATCTTGTCAACAATGAGGCCATGATAGTCGTTGAACCCGATATGACGCTTCTTGCATTTTGCCACGTATCGCTAGACCGTTGACAGTCTTGGGAATGATTTTTATCCAGGTCAAAATTTCGTGCCGAATTATCGTCAGATTAATAGCTTGTGTTGCTAGTTCACGAGCAAACGTGTTCATGGACTTTGTCATTCGTGGTGCGAATAGGGCGGTTTTCGTGACGTGCTGGCTAGTCTCGGCGAGATTCACGATCTTGAAAGCTTCAAAGGTTACAATCTGACCACACCATGCGCAACGAGCGTAGGGAGACGCAGTCCCGCCGGTAGTAGTTGAGTAGTCGAGACCGCTTGTCGTGCGGCTCGATCTCCGTGCAAATGTTGCAGGACCGAAAGTTGCTTTTAATGACCTTGAAGGAGCGAACAACGGCAGTAGCAGTTCGGAGTCACGCTGCAGCAAATGGTGGGCAAGGGCAAGCCACTGCAGCAGCAAGGCCATGGTGTAGAGCATATGGAGGCGTGGAGAACAGGGAAGATTCGAAAATGTCTGAGCCGAGTACTTGCCTACGTTAAAAAAAGCGCCGTCCTTGGCCAAATAAATCCTCATGTGATGAATTGAATTAGGCTGGCTAATATATGCGTGGACATGAGCACGAAGAAATCAGGTGATATGGTCCACTTATCGGTCCTGCTGAAAAATCTGTGGTGCTGGTTGTACAAATCGTGATGACATCGCGGCTCACTGGGTGCGATAAGTACAGCGCGTGCGTCTTCGTAAGAATGCGTGTGTTGCGAGGCCGTCCTTTCCCCAAGATGCTAACTCCAAGAATGAGTGTGTTATGAGCAGAGGTTAGGATAACTCAAAGTATTGTATTACTCAGTAAGACAATTTCGGTATTAATACAGATTGTATTAATACTTATACTCGTTTTTTGGGCGAATGTATAAGGATAATTGAAGTAATACTACTCCTCGGAATTGGTAATACCAGTAATATTTTACGGTTATACTTCCAGAAGCCCCTCCGAACCCACACAGGCGCTATTTCAGTGCATGCTCGCACACTTTCACTCTCTATACGTCCTCCGCGGTGCTATTCGATACCCGTCGGACCACGGGACCCGCGCGAGGGCCCGTGCCAACGTCTACCACGACCTAAACAGAATCTTCTATCTAAATGCAAAGAGGAAGCTTGCGTTCGATCACTAAACCAAGCTACCGACATACTTCCCAACTACGCACAAAAATATTTCCCTGCCTGTGTTAATTAAGACCAGTGCCGCGGGACTACCACTACATAGCCACATCTTCAGGTCGCGCTACGCTTGTCTTGGCTGCCATTGCAGCATAAGGACCGTCGTATGAATACTACAGTATGAAGAAGGTCTTCAATGCCATTCGGATCGTCAAGGTGATAGGAACGCTTCAGCGGCTCAGTATAGACTCGCCACTGGCGAAGCCGAGCTAATGTGAGCCACATAAATTTTTACTAGCATAAAGTATTACCCAAAGTATTAATACAATCTGTATTAATACTGATACTTGTTTTCTATACGAAAGTATTGTACAACCGATATTTATACCAGACCTCCAGTAGGGCCAGTAATACTAATACCATGATTTGGTCGATTATCCTAACCTCTGGTTATGAGGGCGTTCTCTCCACAAGATGCTAATATCCCCATACGCCCGCCAGTACGACAACCAAGAAGCTCGCCGTGATATTTTCACGGTTATGTACAACGTCTTATTAATCTAGACGCGTTTGTGCATGAACAGCGGTTCAAGCTCATCTACCAATGGCGGCAGCAGCGCGCGAGTATCGATTTGGCTTGCAGGACAGTTTGCGGGCCGGCACAGGAACGGTCCTCTTTACTGAATCTGAGTAGGAGCTCGCGGTATGGATCAATGAGCTGAGGGGGAGGGTGTACCAATTTCGGCCATGTTGTTGCACTTACAGGTCCTGAAAGTACTGTAGGCGACGCATACGGTGTCGAAGGCATTAGTACAGGAAGTAGATCCCATCGAGAGCAGCTCGGTCTGTGACGAGATTCTTGAGTCACCATGAGCTGTTTTGTATTTGACAATGCGCGACAGCCATCACTTACACTCCCGGACAAAATATTACGGCCACCTAGATTTTTGCTTATAGCTTTTTTTCTTCTGCGAGTTGGCAGTTGCTGTTTAGATGTGTTGACTACACCCTTAAGAAGCATAGTTACGATGAGAAGTTTGCGAAGTTCGCTCTGCGCGGGGAGGCTCCCATACAAAAAACTGTATTGTGGGGCCGGACACAATATACGACCACTTTATCCATACAAATTTGAATACACGCCTACCGTTATCGGTATAAGTTCTGTAGGTGTGAAGAAGAAACAAAACAGAGTACGAAATGTTGGAGGGATACCAGGTATAGCCCTTGTATTGTGCACGTAACATATGATAATGTAGCCATTTCTTTATCCCATCAATTCTGTACCCCACACATGCTCAGCATACATACGGGCTTTGGCGCATGTATGCTATAAATAGAACGTGAACTATACAAATCATATCACTAATTAACATGTATGCTGAGAAATACATGCGCCTACTATATACAACATCCCTAACCAATACCATGTATGCTGATCATTTATGAGTGCAAAAACAAATTCTTCCCACAATGTTTTTTGCTAACGGAAACAGCATGAAAGACCCAGCAAACTGGGTGTCATTTTTAAAGATGTAAAATTTATGTAACTTATGAAGAACCTCAAACATTATCCTTTCGAATCAGTCGACAAATCGACGGTCTTCGTAGGTCAGACGAAATTTGAGGATCTCAAAATGAAGTAACAACTAAATGGAATTTGGAGATCGAAAACAACACATAATTGGGGCGAGCCCCCCCCTATAATCACGTTTTTTTTTCTGGGATAGGGGACAACGTAGGTGCTGCTATCGCAGACCAAATCGGATTATATCCGTGGTACATCAAGTCAAACGATGACCCCTCTTGACGTATAATTGGTATATTTTCTTGAAACCGGTACGATTCCACTGGGCCGACCAAAAGGTTTATTATATGCATGGGCAGATCGAACCGGTGATGGTATCAATCAGTACATATAGCTTTGATAAGCATGCACATTTTCTACAAGCTGCGAACAGATCTCAACCAATGTTCGCATTTTTAATTTGGTAAGGCATTGCGACGGTTGACATCTTGCATCTGAAGTTTTAAGGCAAATTTCCGGGCAGATGCTGCGGCTGCAAAACAGGCGCAGGAGATGACGGTAGCTAATAAGAAAAATAGTAATTAATAAAATTAAAATAGAAAAGATATTTATACCAAAATTCTGCTATCCCAGCCTTCGCGGAGCCGTAGTACAGGAAGTAAATCAGAGGTTTATAAGCGGTTTGGGCTTATATCTATCATGACGTTCCCGGGACCGAAGACCTTGCATTTTATCTGGCTTTAACAACTAACTGGGGATGGTACTTTGAACTCGGTTGCAGTAATCTCACAGTACTACATTTTTATGAATATCAAAAGTTGGGTTACTTTTATCGCCGCAGGAAAGGATCGTTTACCAGGTCGAGCGACGAATTAGATTCCGGTCCTCAATTGCAAGATAATCAGATCATTTGTTACTCTTTTACCATTGATGCTACAATTTTTTAATGCGACGAGAGAGCCAGTCTGGGTGCTGATTTAGTTTAGCGCACTCCAGTAGGCGTCCTGCTGCTTGGAGTCCATCAGAACATACATCGCCGGGACGTAGAGGTCGACGCCGGGGTCACGCACCATGACGATGAGGCACTGCGTGGAAGGCTTCGGCACCATCTCGAAGGTGCCGTTGATGAATACAGCAGCGCCCAAGTAGCGCAGCAGTCTCACGAGTTCGGGATGCCCACCCAAATCCTATAAACCGGTGTTGTCCACACCAGTGGGTGTGGACAACACTAAACTGCAAAAAACGGCCTTGGGTCTTCTTGGGCCACGTTGCCCAGCGGAGCGCTCTCGATCACGCGCAAGGCATCGCTACCGGTGACTTGCGCGCGAGTGTACTTGATGATGGAGATCCCTGGCTGCCTGGTGATGGTGCTGAGCGTAGCGTCGGGGTACGCTTCTCTCATGCTAGCCATGACCCGCTGCCATACCATGCCAGGTGGCAAGGACAGGTTTGACAGGCAGGCAGACTGGTGGGCGGTGCGCATATCGTCTCGCACATCGGTGACTTCAGGCAGAGGTTAGGTGTGATTGTTGCGGGCTCGTATCGTGTCGTCACGGATGATGAGTCGGGCCTTGCAACCCCTCTGGCCGCGGTGGCGGATGCAGACCGAGTAGGTGATGTTGGTCTCCGAAGTTTTTATCTGCTACCGCATTTCATTCCTGCCTAACAATCGCCCCGAAACACCTCTCGTATAGATCGTACTTCGGTGTGACTAGTCAATTGTCGGATTAAAACTAGAGATACGCTGATGCACAATTGGACGGAATTGTTCGAAATAATTTAATCAAAGTGCTTGTGTAGAGTGACAATCCGACCGAAACCCCGAATTCAAGAGCCATAACTCGGTAACCACGAAAGGCCCACGCACCGTAATCCCCGCATTATGCTTAGAACTATTATGGCAGCATCCCGGTAAGCGGGTTGCTTTGGGGGACGAGACGAAACCCATTTTTATAAAATGGGGAACGACTCCCCACCTCGAATCAATCTCACTCGAAATTGATATATTTAAGAACCGGACTCTGCCTCAAGTACACCACTCAAGTGGGACATGATTTGACCTTATGTAAATAAAAGATCCGCTGAACAATAGAATGCATTGCGGACTTTACCAACATGTAGAGCATAGATATACACTACATATCAAGCGCTAGCATTCCTGTACAGCCAAGTAGTCGAGCACAAGAGCTCGAGTACAACATCAGGGCCCATTTTCGGGCGAATGTAATCATGCCGATTTTCGACAAATTACATTGTGTTTATGAAGGACCTTACAAAACATAGGATAAAATACCACCATCGTTTTGATTTATCCTGGTATCGGCACTGTTGATTGGTAGAAACCTAACTGAATGTGAATGCATGCGGAGGTGGGGGGGGGGGGGTCATGGGTGCCAAGTTTGAGAGGAGAGTTCTGAAGTAATATGGCGAGCTATGAGCCATCAGTACTGGCAAATGCGCTTTGGAGTCTATAACTTTCGCTTGGACCCTTTGCCTTATCCTTTCTATCTGGAGCGGATCGTCTAGATTTGAGTGACCCCCACAAATTATCCTTTTCCGGTGTACTTGACGCATAATCAGGTTGTTAATATATTAATTTTGAATTAAAAATCGGTGTATCTTACTTCGTAGTTGTAGCACGCAGTGCCGTACAGCTATGGTGGATCTTCGTCAAAGATGCGCGCCGCAAAACACCTTGGCGGCAACTTGAAACGAGTGGCGTAATAAGAAATACGACATGGCATTAGGACGAGCCGCTACCGACGAGTCAGCAAGTGAAGAGCAAATCAGCGCAAAGTTAGTTGACGCTTATTAACTCTTTGGTAGCAGTTTGCTGACTGTTGTGTATTGTGAGCTGCTGTTGCTTCTCGTTATTGACAGCTGTTTATTCTCCGTCCTCTATACGCGAATCCTGTCCGTGTGTCACTCGGTCACGCTTTCCGCCCCTACAGCCTACACCTGTCATTTCGACTACGCTACCGCGGTCCAATCCCACGTATTATTCACTCATCAAGTCGACTTGAACTGGCTTTTAAACTATAACCGGAATTACAAAACTAGACATGGTAACGCTAAAACTCGGACTTACACGGATCCGATCGGGGTGTGATTATCACATCCCCCATTTTGAAAGTTGGCGCACGGCGGACGGACGGACCAAGGCAGCGAGCGGGAGGACGCCTGGCGTACGGGAGTGAGCAGCGGAGTGCAGCGGCAGTGGACACTACCACAGTGAGTACATGCATACATCTACATAAATAAACTACTGTACGGTTTCGGGAGTTCCACCTGTTGGGATAACTGGTACCTTCAGGGCAGTCGAGGGTTTACAGTACGGACTTAGGGGTAGACTGGTGCTGATTAGGCGTTCTTAGGGACACCTAATTAAGAGTCCGTGGGATGCTGCAGTAGGCCGCCATACCTACGAGATGGCCCACTCCGCGTCGAGACACCCACGGACGGCGCAGCCGCCGGACAGTCGCTCTGAATCCACAACATTGCTACTTTGTATGAGTGTCCGATTTAATTATTTGGCATGCTTATACTGTAGTACTGTGGCTTTCTGCTTTAAGCCCGTTACCATCCTTAATAAGGGGTGTTTTAAACGCCTTTTTAGGATAAGAAAGATTGCAGCTGGCACCCGCCGCCGTTCTAAGACTTTGCTCTGTCGCACCTTTTGCTCTTCGGAGCCGCGACCCTGAGGCGCCCATGTTTGCCCACCAGCGGCATCGGAAGTCTCATACCCAACCGAGTTTTGGCAGATCCATGTGGCGATAAAAGCCGGCTTTGCCGGGCCGCCTGTTTAAAACTCGGAGTAGTGGTCGTGTTACACAATTAGTGTATGGGACCGGCACGTTGAATTGGGGGAAACCTGGTTCCGTGCTTCCGTGCCGCGACAGAGCGCATGCGGCCAGCCACGTGGCTTGGGTGGGGACTCGAGCCGAGCCACTGGGGACAGTGACTTGAGGGCTTATGGCTTACCTTTTGTTTAGCGGCAAACTGGGACCGTCAGTTCCTTTCGGGGGGCAACGGAAATCTTTTTGCTTCGGCAACTGAAACCGCTTACCGCATTTCCGACCCACCCACACCCAAACATACAATCCAATAACACACAAGACAAAAGAGAGCGGTATTTGCATTGCTACATAAGGGGCTTCTAGCCTATTGCGACCTGTGTCGTAGTAGAAGAAAGCTTGATGTGTGCTACCTTGCCTACGCTTTTTCGGGTTATGTAGATTTGCGGTCTAAACGATCCTTCGATGCCTATGATGCCAGTGGATGTTCCAGTATACAAAGCAATGCCCAACAACTGACCCATTACCCCTTACAACCGAAAGTGGTTAATTGCCTGGGCTGATATAGCTCAGTGGCATTAAGCAGACACTCTACCACGGTCAACAAAGGAAGTGACAACAACCAAATAGGGGGGGAGTTGTCGCTTCAGCACCAAAAGAAGACCCGCTGCCAATTTCTCCAAAGGTATTGTGACACGGCGGCAATAAAGCGGGTTGTGCATCAAGGTGGTAAAAGTGGAGGTGAGGGACTGAAAGCAAAAAAAAACATACCGATTCAAAAGCTTGGCTAATGAGGCGTCTTACCGTCGTTTAAATTGCCGTTGGCATAATAACACCGGGAATGCCGTAGGAGAGAGAGAAGGTCCCAGGTACTTGACCTGGTGGCGTATATTTAGGCACTTATTTCGGAGCCTGCTGGAAGCTGGCACTTTGACGTCTAAGTGAGTTACCCGTAACTATTCGTAGTTGATCGATTTCCCTTCCTCAGGTCGTGGTGAGGCGGCGGTTTGAGGGGATGCGGTTGCAGAGGTTAATCGGGAGTTCCATTAGGGGGGTAACTTAGGGGGTTCCAGGGGATGTAGTGATGGAGGTAGTTGAGGGTCGGAAATAGACTTACGTGGCTTTTGTATCGGAATCGCTTCGGGCGAGACTCGAACCCTCAGTGGAACGCTTGATCTTCGTGGGCCTTACCCACGGGGACACTAAGACCCCCCGGGAATGCCGTAGGTGATGTGGTTACTTTAGGCTTTTTCTGCGAACACGGGTTTCAAACAGGAACAGACGTCCCTTCAACGGTAACGCACGGTACTAATCTCTTCAAGGCGGTGCGGCGGAAGATAAACGGCATAGGCGATGCCGAGCTTACTCACCTACACTCCGCGCCAAGTGCAATCACGCACCCGGGTTTGTAGCTATATCTCAGTCAATATTTAGAGTTAGGAGCTGCGCTTTAGATATGTTGCTGCTACTACCGTTACCGACCCCGCTCTTGCGTTAACGATCGGCATTCCCATGGCTGTTGTGGGGCTCACATACAAGCAGACAAATATGGCTTAGTGACACAATTATCACGCAGATTGGACCATACAAAAATTCATATATTAAGATTAGTGGTGGGACCGTAAAAATCCCAACCAGTACGGCATTCGCAAAGATGCCGCCCAAGCCACGCGTCAGCGACGAAGAACGCGGGAGAATCCAAGGACTGCACGAGGCCGGGTGGTCTAACAGTGCTATTGCACGCCGTGTTGGTCGCAGCGACCAAACGGTGGCTCGCATCGTCGCTCCAAAGGCGCCGACGGAGCGGAAGAAGCTCGACCCCCCCCCCCCCCGCCCGTCATGTCGGACCGCGAGGTGCGGCTAGTCGTGCGGAAGGCAGCGATATGTGTATAATCTCTCTGAATACATGCTTCCTTACGCTCCCAAGCACTTTGGGCTGGAGTATATCTTTCAACAAGATAATGCTTCTATCCATACGTCGAAGCGCACGGCCGATTTTTTCGAAGAGCAAGAAGTGATGGTGATGAAGTGGCTCGCTCGTTCTCCGGACCTTAATCCGATAGAGAACTTGTGGGCCATTCGTGCAGTCCTTGGATTCTCCCGCGTTCTTCGTCGCTGACGCGTGGTTTGGGCGGCATCTTTGCGAATGCCGTACTGATTGGGATTTTTACAGTCCCACCACTAATCTTAATATATGAATTTTTGTATGGTCCAATCTCTAACATAGCTTAGAACCATACATAGTAACAGGTTACTTTTACGGCGAACTAATAGATATTTGATTGTTGTTTTGCAGGATTCATGGCTCGAAAACGAAAGTATACGAGCGAAGACGATGTCAGAACAGCGTATCCTGCACCTGATGGAGACGAAACCCCAGCAGAAAAGCAAAGAAGGCTCAATAATTTGGAGTTGGCGTTCGGAGTATACTGGTTCAGCGGGCACAACCTGCTTACGAAGAAGCGGTCGCGAAACAGGAACGGCGAAGGGCCGCTGGAGAAGAGATACCGGACGATGATCCTGCATTGCGTTTGCAGAACCTTATCCCTGACAACGATGACTTCCGGCTCCGACTGCATGTGTCTCAGAATGCAAACCCGGGTACGCATAACACCCCAACGGCATCCGAAGTGGCAGCAATTGTGATTGATGGGCATGTGGTTCTGTCTCGCGATATTTTGATCTCTAC